AAGGTGGCCATGAAAGAGAAATCAACACATTTCACAAGTCTACCAACGCAACATGAAAGGGTAGACAAATTGGATTGTTCAGGAGTTTACTGTATTTCATGCGGCGCCTGCGAACAGAAATATATTGGTGAAACAGGTAGAAAAATTAACACACGAATCAAGGAACATCAGTTAATTGAAAAATTCTAGTCATGCAGTAAGGCAGGGGGCACCAACTGATTTAATAAAGAATTAAAAAAAATAAGGAATGACAAGCCTAATCAACTCAATAGATTAAAATTACTCAGATTTTTTTGTCAGCAATGGATCGGATGCAATGCAATTAAGGGACTATTCAAGAAAAAGTTCGTTGCATGGAATTATAATAGTAGATGTCCTAAAATTGTGGGATAATGAGGAAATTATGACTACCGAATTTTGTCGTGACCAAGAATTGTTCCTGCAAGAGGACTCAATGCCTTAGCCCATAGGACAAGATCAGTGTTAAAAAAGACATGGAAACAGTGAGGGTTATAAGCCCTTTTTTAGGAAGTATAGGTAAAATTGAGGCTCCAAATAAAAAAGTTGCCGGTGCTGTTATTCACATTCAAACAAATTCCTTTCATTAAGATAAAGTTAATCAAGAAAAAGAAATTGTGACCTCAACTGAGGTATCAAATAGATGAGTTCCAGCTAAAATTGCCTCAATCATGGGAACATGATAGGAAACTTATTATATCACAAGGCCTCAGGTCACCCTATACAGTTAGTCATTAGCTTTACTGTTGAATAATACAGTGCGAGGAGATAGATATAGACTCTTTCTTATAAAAATAAAGGTAACGAGATCTAAATTCACCTGTGAATGTAGCAAAAGAGGCTCAAGAGAAGTTAAGTTATTCCTAATTAGCAGGAGGTTGCTCGTAACTAGAGAAGAGGTCTCATAAGAAGAGTTTTCCTGCCTTTCTTCTTCTGAGCGAGTCGAAGTTGACGTCGCAGAAAAGACGGAGTCACCGTAATTGTTTTGCCCCTCCTTAAGTGAACGAGCAAAGGCCTGAAATGTGATTCTTAAATTAAGCCTGGAGCCAGCCGAAGCAGATGAGTTACGGGCTAAAGGAGAAGCTGGAGATAGCAGAAAAACAGGGCAACAGGAGGGCATCAATCGTTGGACAGGAGTGAGTTCAATAGGGTAGAGTGTGAAAGGAGCCACAGCCTGTAGATTAAAAATACCGTAGGCGGTACTAATCATCTAAATAAAATGGAGAGAAAGACAAATTAAGTTAAGGATTAAGAAAAGGAAAAATCTATTAGATGGAGTAGGTAAGGAATGATGTGATGAAATGGAAGAAGACTGGGTCGAATAGGATGCTGATGTATAGTTGAGTATGATGCTACATGAAATGAAAGAATTAATTGCTAGGACCTAATTATATCATAAATTGATGTAATTGGATAAAATAGTTTAATTAATATTAAATAGGATAAAGTTAAAGAAAAAGTATAAACATTATAATAATGCGACATCCTCGCAATGCGTTGATGTAAAATGCAAAAAAATTACTTGACCTTTAGTGCCAAATATATTAGAACTCAACCTTGTTAATCACTGGCACACTAGATGGGCCGCCCAATGGTATTTGGACTGATTCCAGAAGTCTGGTGAACCATTCTTTGCGTTTGAGCATCATGGCTGACTCGAATGGTGTTGAAGTAGCTTCCGAATGGTGCAACAGGCTGTCTAAGAGGATAGGCTGCACGAGCAATGGGCGTGTCGATGGATTGGCCAGCTTAAGGACGCAATCGACAGTTTCGCCTGGCACTGCTAACGGCAGCAAGAGGCGCGCAAAAGTACCAAACTGGGGTCCGGAAGGAGGAAACGGCTTTCTTGTTGTATTGTTCACTATCGCAGCCCACGGTTTCTGGAAACCGGCTTCAGATGAGCCGGATAGCAGGACACATCGAACCATGAATGAATTCGCGAGCGATCTGGGGAAAATTTTTTCTGACATCTGAGGGGCAGATGAAGGTGGGTTTGGCAACTTGAAAGAATCGCCTGAGCCAGGACTTGATGGAGGATTAGGCTCGGTTGAGCCAGAAAAAAGAGAAGAGCCTACCGTTCTAAAACTGTTTGCATCATTGCTACCACTATTGGAATTAGAATTTGTATTCTTATAATAAATAGTACGACTAGAAGAATGTCTTGCATAAGAATGAAGGTGACTTGGTGAGTTAGGAAAGGTGATAAGCTGTGGCCAGACTAGGCTGGCTGTTGCGCGGCTAACAAAGCTGGCTTTATGAGGCGAGGAAGTGATGAACTCGAGATTGCAACCAAGTTGAAGAATAGGAAAGGAGACAGTAGGTTCAAATTTGACTTCGTCAGAAGGCGAGACCAAGTTAATCTGTGCGGAACCTTTAAGGCAAGTGACACTGGAGGCTGAGACGGCGCTTGCCGTAGCCTGGAGCTCAGCCCACTGAGTACGAAGAAGATAGTAGAGCCGGGATGCTAGGTGCAGACCAGCAGAGAAGGGAAGGCCGACGGAAGAGGCAGAGGTTGAAGGAAGAGGAGGAGCAAAGTACATAAAATCCAGCCATTTACGGCCTGAGGGAGAAAGTAAAACAAGAAGTATTGGTATAGTATAATTAATATTTAAGCATATGGGCTTCTTGCAAATAAATATAAAAGACAACTCTGGATTAAAAAGCAATTTGGGTATAAATGGAACACGGAAATGGGACAAAAGCAAGTATTTTCTTAATTAAAAAGGAGAGGCTAACTATCATTTCACAAAAAATCAATTTGTCGACGAAGTCTCATTGCGTGAAACTAATTTTCTGATAGTATCAAATCCTTTAGAATAATATTGACAAGCCACATAGACGAATCATGAGAAGATAGAATTTAAAATTAATCTTACAGGTTGTTTTTAAGCCCGATACATCGAATAATATGCTGAGTATGGCTTTCAGAGAAACCCAAACAGTAGACAAGCCTTTAAAATATGTGCAATCAGGCTACCCAAAGTTGAGATGGCAAACTGTTACACAGGAAATTAGGTTTCTGGAATTAACTTAAACGAAAAAAAAGTAGTAGTAAAGACGATTTTTATTACTGCGTATGGAATTAGAATATAAGCTGATTCTCAAACTCAGCAGTAATATGCAACATAATCAATCAATGTGCAGAATCCCGATAAGTAATGGAATCAGTTAAGACTGAATGCCAAGAAAATAGATAAAAATTAAAAATAAAGTGAAAATGACATCCAGAGAAATACAAAATCCTCACCGAATTTGCTATCCAGACTGAAGCCGCTATAACATATTGGGAAAAGCTCTCGAGACCTCCTAGATCGACCATATAAAATCTAGAAAAATCGTTGCGAAGAAAACCGAAAGGTTAGAGAAATGTGTGGTCGTTCAGCAAACTAACTAAATGAAGGCTTTAAAAACTTAAAGTTCAAAAAATGAGGTAGATTTTGTCTGGATGAGGAGTCATAAAAGCAGAGTTGAACGAAGTAGAGGATGTCTTGATTGTGACTATATTTTATTGAATCTTCATAATATCCGAAAATAAGGTAGGTAAACACATTGAAAATTGTAGAACCAAAGTGCTAGATAACTCAGCATAGATATTGACATTCGAAATAATTATGGCCATTGTGCTCTAATACAAAGGAAAACTGAAAATATACACAAGGATGGAGTAGAAGTTACTAGACTGAACGTGAGTAAACACGAACCACTCAGAAAAAAACGAAAACGTATTAAAAAATATTGCTTAAACTTTTACGTGAGCACCGTCACTTCGTTGTCTAGACTCACTTTTACCTCGATTGTACAGCTTGGTCACATTCATCAGAAGACTATGAAGAACGTACATTTTCAAGTTAACTTATTGACTAGGCATAAACTATATTTGTATGAAGATAACGATCCCGAAAATCTCTGCAAGAGGTATAGCGGACACATTTCCTAGAGGAAGCAAAACACTAGTGAAGATGAAAAGATAAGTTAGCTTAAGGGATACCTTCAAAATTAAAATAGGTGATCCGTTCAAGTGGCTTAATCCAAAATATAAATGCAAACAAGTATCCGTCACCTAAATCACTCCTACCTCAAAACTTTAGAGTCTGGATCCTATTTTCATTGTGAGCA